GTGACGAGCCGTATACCTGCCAGTGCGTCCCTATTGGAATCTTACTATAACTTAATACTTTCCTTTTCCTCTTATATTCTTTATATAAAGGATCTCTTCTACTTCCTATTTATCTAGTATTATATCTTTATTTTCTAGAGTAACTATTAGGCCTAGTTATAAGTCCTAAAGCTTCTAGCTTAGTAGTAGATTATTAGTAGCTCTCTCTAGTAGATCTATATATATAGTCTTATATAAGTTCCTTAGTAAGTCTAATACTACTATAAGTAGAGTAGGGACTTCTATTACTTTATACTTTACCTATAGCTAGTTAAACTTTTTATTTAGTTAGTTTATCTTTATATTATATATTATAAACTAAGCTATATTACCTTTTAAGAACTTTTTAGCTAGGCGTTAGGACTAGTTTATTACTTCTTATTATTATTACTATTAGAATATAATAGTAGCTTAGACTAGCTCTACACCCCTCTATAGGTATAATAAGAACGCTATAGCCTCCCTATAAGGATTCTTAGGCTTTACTAGTAGTAATATTATCTTTTATAGCGTATCTATAGTATACTTATTTAAAAGTAGATTTAGGCTAATACTAGTTATACTAAAGTCCCTATTATTAAGTGTAAGTTAGCAGGCTAGAAGGTAGTTAGGCTAGTTAGTCTGCTTAAAGCATACTATTATGCGTAGCACTGCCTGCACTTCTTAGTTTACCCGCTCTATCCCGCTATCTGTCTAGGGGTGGTATACAGTAGACAGTAACTAGTTTATCTTTATTATCTAGTATAATATTATCTAGAAGGATCCTAACTAGTTTAAGCCTTAGTTAGTAATAATAGAGGATAGGAAGCCCTAGAACTACTACTAGTTATCCTAGAAGATCCTTGCACAATAATTAGCTATTATAGAGACTGTTACTTTAAGCTAAATATATTTAGATAATCTATTAGTAATAACTAATAAGAACTAGGGTTTACTATTATCTTTTATAGGTAGGTTAACTATAAAATCTATAGATATTTAGGACTAGTATTATAGTGCTACTAGTATAAGTTATAATAGACCCTATTAGCGCTTCTAGGAGATATAAGCACTATAATAATAGTAGTTCTAAATATACTACGTAATATCTCCTAATATTCTATCTTAATAGTAGTTATAGTGTAGTATCTAAAATATTATATTCTTTCCTAGATATCCTACTAAACCTAATTTATATACTTGCTATATAATAGTAGTTATAAGGGGTTCCTATACTAGTAACTAAATAATACCCCTCTAAAGCAAAGTGCTGTGTGCGCTAATTGTATAGTCCCTAATCTATTGCTTTATATTAGCTAAAACTAGGAAGGACCTAGCGCCTTTTTAAACTATATTAAGACGCACTTAGTATATCTTATCTTCTAGTACTACTTTATCCTATAGTATCTATATATATAGGTTAGTAAAGAGGCTAGCGCCCTTTAGTAACTTAGACGCCTCCTCTACTTCTAATACTATAACCTAAATTAATTTAGGGCGTATTACTAAGTATAGTATTACTTTAGAGGAGTTTAAATCTTATAGTTACCTACTTAAGGTACTTAGTTATCCTATAAGATAGCTAGGTCTATACTATAGGATATACTAATATTTTAAAAGTTCCTCTACCTAGTAGCACTATTACTTGCTTAAGCTTTAAAGGCTAGTAAAATACTCTAGGTTTTTATAGTCTATAAATATTATAAATAGCTTATAAACGCTCTATAACTCTACTAACTAATTTTTAAGATACTTAATAATAGCTAGTAATTCCTTATTATATATTATATAGTTTTATCTCTCTAGTATTAGTGCTATAGAGTAGTAAGTAACTAGGCGCTAAACGCCCCTAACCTTTTATAATAAGCAACCCTTAAGAGTATATCCTAAATAGTCTGCTTCTAATAATATTTCTTTAGCTAGGTCCTATTGTGTTAGTACTAGTCTAGATATAAATGCCTTTTTTAGTGTATTAAATGCACTCTATTCTTCCTCTCCCTATTAGAATAGGGTATCCTTCCTAGTTAGTTAGTTTAAAGGCGCTGCTACTTTAGAAAACTTTGCGATAAAATTATAGTAGAAGTTAGTAAAACCTAGAAAACTCCTTACTTCTCTTATATTCCTAGGGGATTCCTATTCCTATACTACCCTAAGCTTTTTAGGGTTAGGTCTAAGTAATTTACCTACCTTAATAATATAGCCTAGGTAGCGTACCTCCTTAATACTAAAAGCATATTTCTCTAAGTCTAGGTGTAGTCCTACTTCTTTTAATAGCGTAAGTACACGCTTTACTTTTTCTATATAGTTAAACTAGTCTCCTCCTAAATAAATTAGGATATTATTAAGGTAGGCTATTATATATAATCTAAGTAACTCTATAAGCGTAGTATTAATATATTATTAGAAAGTAAATAGCACACTACTAAGACTAAATAGATATACTAACTATTTATATAGCCTAAACTAGGTATAAAACGCTATTATAGACTTATAACCTTCTACTATTCTAACTTTATAAAAGGTAGTATAAATATCTACTTTTATAAACTATTTTACGCTATATAGTATATATAAAGTTTCCTTAATAAGTAGTAGTAGGTATTAGTCTAAGGTTATTATACTATAAAGTATCTAGTAATCTATATAAAGGCGCTAACTACCTAATAGCTTCTTTACTAGTAATACTAGAGCTCTAGCTATAGAAGAGCTTACTTAAATCTAGCCCTTATCTATTAATTTAGTAAGTTATATTCTTAGTTCTAGTAATTAGTTACGTAATATAGGGTCTAGGGGACCTTATAAGGGGTTAGGCTAGGTTCTATCTAGGAGAGTTATTAACTAAATATAGTAATCTATACTACCTTAATAGGGTAGTAAACTACTTACTAACTCTTTGTTAAATAGGTCCTTAAACTCCTATAGTTCTAGTAGTAACTTTATCTTTCTAGTTTTATACTTAGGTTTATAGGAAACTATAATACTAGTAATATAGATAGTATATATATTAATAGGACTTCCCTTATTAATACTTCCTAGATATTTTATTAGGCGTAAGTTATATATTACCTATAAAATATCTAGTATATTTATTATAAAAATTTATACCTATATATCTTCCTATTAGGATTCTTACTTTAGTAACCCTACTATAACTAGACCTAAGATAATAGAGATACAGGTAGGATATAGGCGTCTCCTGCTCTCTTGCACTACTATATTTCCTGCCTCCCTAATTATTAATTTGCCTTATAGAATATCTATAATAACGCCCTCTCTATATAGCTATAGTCTACCTAGTATTAATTAATAGAAAAGAATAGGTACTATATAAGCTAAAAGCTAAGACTACTAACTATCTAAATTATAGTCTAATACTACTAACTATAAAATTCTTATACTCTTAGTAATTCCCTAGGTATATTATAAGGGTTACAGGGGAATATTAGTATAGTTCCTACTAATCTATCTTGCTAACTTTTCTTTAACTATACTAAAATACTAGTACCCTAAATTAACTATTACTTACACGTTCTCTACTCTACCTAGGAGAAGGGGAATAAAGAAGGGAGGATTATTTAACCCTACCTTAATATCTAGGGGACACTTAATAGCCTCTACTATTAATAATTCCTCTACTATAGTATCCTCCTTATACCCCTAACTTAGCTTAAGGTTAGGGGTAGCTAGTTTCCTAAATTAGGGCTGCTTGCTAATACTATAACTATCTTAACACCTACTAGTTATAGTAATAGGGTATTAGGATATACCTATATAAAATAACTACCCTATCTATACTAGGTATAGACCCTTGCTAGTTTTTATATATTAAATAGGTCCTATAGGATCTAGTTAGAATATAATATTAGTAGTTTAGTAGGTATACTTAATAAGGCTACTACTTCTACTATATTTATATTACTATCCTAATCTAGGGTAGACTTCTACTAGGGTTTCTTACACTTACTAGCTTAAAGAAAGTCTAGTTCTAGGGAGGCTATTTTAATATCTACTATAATTATCTTATATTCTTTTATAGCTATATTATAGTTTATCCTAGAGACTCCCCTATTAAGGGAAACTTAGCGTATATAGCTATTTAGTAATTAGTAAAGTTATAAAAGCTTCTATTTATTATCCTAGTATAGACCTCCTAACTATATAAGAAGCTATATAAAATTTATAAAGAACTCTATAAAAGGCTAATTTTAGCCCTAATATAGGTATTCTAATATAACTTAGGCGCGCTCCTGC